AGGAGACCTTTTTGAGCCATTTTTAAAAAAAAAAAAAAAAAAAAAAAATTATTTTCAGCTGCAACTGATTAGTCCAATGGTATTTGAAAAATATAGTCCAATGGTTAAAAAAAACAAAAAACCCTCAGCTTGTGACTTAAACCTCATTTTAACTGAAGTACAATTTAAAAGACCTAGCACTAAGCCTGGATTACGTAGACTAGAGAAGTCATACACATGATCTGCATATATGTATACAGTAGCAAACTCTCCTTACAGAAGAGGGACACCTCTACTGATCTCTTCTGGTTTCCTGGCACAGGCAAGATGACTTATGAAACATGCATACAATTACCTGAGTCTAAATTTATTTTTTTCATGTAGTTTTATGAACTAGTATGTATAAAATGTGTTGCCATGCGTGTTCATTTTTATTAGTCTGGTTTTTCCCCATAGTATAGTACCTACTTAAAAATGATCAGGCTCTTATCTCATGTCAATACACATGTGATTTATTCACCCACTTTTGATTTCTGGGGCATACTGTATGTATAATCTACTTTTGACTGCTAAACTGGAATATCTGCAATTTTTATTGCAACTGTATTATGGGATTAGGACTTCTAATATAGACACGACTGAAAACCATTCTCTATTGCAGAGGGAATGCATATCTGTCCATGTTGGCCAGGCTGGAGTTCAGATGGGAAGCGCTTGCTGGGAACTTTACTGCTTAGAACATTTAATTCAACCAGATGGCACAATATCAAATGACAAGACTAAGGCAGTAGACGATTCTTCATTTTCCACCTTCTTTAGTGAGACTGGCTCAGGAAAGTATGTTCCAAGATGTGTTTTCATTGACCTGGAGCCAACTGTTATCGGTACAGTATTTCCTAAACTTATGTGATGTATTCTGCTGGATGCCTGTTGCGTTGTATCTGTTGTGGATGATAAAAACCACAACAAGCTTTGCAGGTTGTAAGAGTGCCAGGCTGTCCAAAGAACACTTCTTCCTTTGCAGGTCCCACTTTTTACATTTGTATAACCCATCAATAATTTAAAGGAAAAACTCTTCAGGGCTGTGGGAGAGTTCCCCTTATTGAAGGGGGTGAGTAGTACTTGGACTATTCATCTCCCATCTTTTGGAGACCTCAAGGCCTGTCATGAAGAAGGGTCAACCTTTTGACAATGCAGTGACAAGTTTTTTTTCTTTTAAAGGTGGCACTGGGCACCTAGGCATCTTTTACCAGGGGAATACATTTTGAATTCAAGAAGTCTGTCAGATTTAGCTTTAACTTTGTAGGATATATTCTTAACTGGCTACATAAAATGCAGGTACCTGCACCTATGTTTAAATGGCTTTAGAAGCTGTTTTGGAGTCATGAGGCCTGGGGTGCTCAAATATGCAAAGATACAGAACTGACCTGCTGCCACCTGTGTTTCACTATTGGCCTGTCTCTGTCACTGGGTCATCACAGAGTGGAAGAATGTATGTTGATCTGTTTTGTGAATAATGGACATCTGTCTCAAACTGACTTGCCAATATCTCATGTCTTCTTTTTCTAGATGAAGTTAAAACTGGAGCCTACAAGCAGCTGTTTCATCCAGAGCAACTCATACCAGGCAAAGAAGACGCTGCAAATAATTATGCTCGTGGGCACTACACAGTTGGCAAGGAGATCATAGATCAAACACTTGACAGGATACGAAAGTTGGCAAGTATTTTGTTGGTTGTCTTCATAAAAATAACTGACATGAGAAAATTCCAGTTTACTCTCCCTGGTGGTGCCTTTTAATCCAGGAGTTTAAAAGTCTTGGCCAACACTCTGTTCTATAGGTTAAGTGTATCTCCCATCCACTAGGCAATAAGTGACGTGTTTCCTGTGTGTGGGGGAGGAGATTCCATCTCGTGATGCTGTCCTGGAAGACTAATGGAAATAGAGTTACCGGTAAGTCCTAACTCTGAATTTCATGGTCACTAGTATCTGGAAGAGTGTAGTGGCCATTGCTCTTTTAAAGGAGAATTAGGGGGCGAGATAAAAATACTCATCCCCATAATTCAAGCCGACTTGTGACACTGAAGCTGTCACAGGGTGCCTCTATTGATGGGGAAGTCAGCGAACATGTACCCCAATCGTCGACTTCCTGATCCTCTCCCCGCAGAGTGGTGACTGTCAATACGGGAGGGGGTAGGCACAGCTGGCTCTGCTTCTAGAAAGGCAGAGCCAGCTGTCAGCGAGCGGGTTGGATCTAGACAGTATTGTGGGGATCTGTCCCGGCTGTGGCGTGGCTCTGCGCTCTCAGCATATAACAGGCAACAGCCCGCTATATACTGAGTTTTGGGTCACCAGAGGATGTTTGTATATGTCCTCCTGTGACTCTGAAGAGAACTATAGCTAAAAAGGGTTAGGCCATAGTTCTCCTCCTTTTTTAATTGAAGCAATAGTAAATTCTAATTAAAATTTTTTTTTTTTTTTCTTGTACTCCACGGGATGACCTAAATCTGGTAGCTTTGCCTCTTCTTTTTATGCGCTGCCTATGGCTAGCTACTGGGCTTTCACTCACGGCTGTCCATACATGCAGCTATCAAGGAGGGGAATAATTAATTCGCTTTGACTAACTCCACTTGTTTCTGGCTCGTGTCTGCCCAATACATTATCACTAGGAATGCAGAGGGGAAGAGACTGCATGTTAAACCCAACTGTGGGCAAAAATGTTCTTAACCCCTGCAGTGGGGCTACCCCACACTGAGGGTTAAGTGCTTGTTTTGTCTTAAGTGCTTAAAAAATAAATAAATAAATTGTACTCCTGAATCTTAGAGCTGTCTGGCTGCTACTCCAGTCCCTGAAGCCTGTCTCCTTATCCACTGCAGAGATGGTTATGCCCCTTCGTGTCCTCACATACTATACACTGTATGGAACGTGATGACAAAGGATCCTTGGTGGGGGGGGACTCCAGGGACCTGTCTAAGAGCAAGCTGGCTTGGTTGAGTATTTTTTATATATACAGTATATCCCCCTAGACAAATGAGCACTTAACCCTTGCAGTATGGGGGTAGTCCCACTGCACGGGTTAAGAACATTTTTGCTTTAACTAAACTATTCCCTGTACATAGAAGTGCACAGCTTACGGGGGAAAGGTTTCCGTGCTAGCTGTAACTTCCCCATAGAAGCTGGGGAAATTAAGATTCACGCTGGGGTGGAGCTACAGCACAGTACAAAGAAAATGTTTATTTGCAAACCACTGCATAAATCTGACCAGGAAAAATTGCTGTGTGCATTGGGTCCCCTGGGGGAATCTATGTTAATTTCTGGTGAGAATTCTAAGTGGAAGCTTTAAAAAAAAAAAGCCTCTGGAGGTGTTTGCCATAATCTGCTTGTATGCACAGCACATTATGGTCTGCAGTCATCTGACCAATGAGAAGCTTTTCTTGATTGGTGTGTCAGGTGACCAGTGAGTGCTTGTAACTGATCACATTTTCCTACAAAGTTGATTATACTGGTATAAAGCACAGAGTATTCTTTTCACTACATGCCCTTCCAGAGTAGTATGGCGCTTAGAAAAGCCTTGCTTTACCTAACATGAATGTACCATAATGCTGAGCTCTGGAATAAGCAAATTTGTCTAAATGAGGCATGCATATTCCTACTTGGCTCTTGGTGTGCTTTGTTTCCTCCTGATTGTTGCAGTAACTCAGTATGAAACTTTTGTGTCTGCAGGACCTTCCTGTAATTAAGACCAGTCCCTGCTGTTCTCTCCTTGTGCAGGATGACGCCCCCCCCCCCCCCCCGTAGTTTTCTGCAGGCAACCTGTAGTGGTCAGGCTTGCTGGATCCTTACAAGAGCTCTGCTCTCTGCACAGTGTCACTGCTCCTTTTTTTTTATATGGTAATAGATGGGTTTTCAAAGGCATTTGGTGCACATGATTGGTTATATATTTTTTTGGTTATTGAGGAATAAAAGTTTTGTTTTTGTGGCTGAAGTTTAAGCTAAACCTTTTTTGCATGGTCTTTTCCAGTCTGAACAGTGCTTTGGACTTCAAGGATTTTTGGTCTTCCACAGCTTTGGCGGTGGCACAGGATCTGGTTTCACTTCACTATTAATGGAACGCCTGTCGGTGGATTATGGAAAGAAATCAAAGCTGGAGTTTTCAATTTATCCTGCCCCAAGGATCTCCACTGCAGTCGTAGAACCATATAATTCTATTCTGACAACTCACACAACTCTGGAGCATTCGGACTGTGCCTTTATGGTAGACAATGAAGCCATCTATGATATCTGCAACCGAAATCTGGATATTGAGCGCCCCACTTATACTAACTTGAATAGATTGATTGCTCAGATTGTTTCTTCCATCACAGCTTCTTTAAGGTTTGATGGGGCACTTAATGTAGACTTGACAGAGTTTCAGACTAACTTGGTGCCTTATCCTCGAATCCACTTCCCACTGGTCACTTATTCACCCATAATATCAGCAGAGAGGGCTTACCATGAGCAACTGTCGGTGCCTGAGATCACCAATGCTTGTTTTGAGTATTCAAATCAGATGGTGAAATGTGATCCTCGTCGTGGCAAATATATGGCTTGCTGTCTGTTATATAGAGGTGATGTGGTGCCAAAAGATGTCAATGCGGCTATAGCTGCAATTAAAACCAGGCGTTCTATCCAGTTTGTAGACTGGTGTCCTACTGGATTTAAAGTGGGAATAAACTACCAGCCCCCTACTGTAGTTCCAGGAGGTGACCTGGCCAAAGTTCAACGTGCTGTCTGTATGCTGAGTAACACTACAGCCATTGCAGAGGCCTGGGCAAGGCTAGACCACAAGTTTGATCTCATGTATTCTAAGAGAGCATTTGTACATTGGTATGTGGGAGAGGGCATGGAGGAAGGAGAGTTCTCTGAAGCAAGGGAGGATATGGCAGCTCTAGAAAAGGATTATGAAGAGGTAGGAACAGAGTCTGGTGTTGGTGGAAATGAAGAGGAAGATGAATTCTAACACCCTTTAGACTAATGCGCTATAGGCATACACTGTCTAAAATGTTTGACTGGTGTCCAACTGTACCATAAATGACCATTAAAAAAAATCTAGTGTTCCATATTTAAATAGTAGCAGTCACTGTTTCGCAATGAAATGCATTTTCCATTGACTTTTGTCCAATAAATTTCAAGGCTTTAAAATGTATCATGTATTTTTGCTGTTTTTGTATTAATAAAAAAAGCAATCAATCACTTTTGTTTGGGCTCTCTTCCAAGCTAATGCAGATCAAACCAAACCCATCATAAGACAAACACTTGAGCTGCCACTGATGACCATTTTTAGAAAATCAATTTGATTCTCTGGTTTCAATGATTTTTCTTACAGGTCGGTGATTTTAAGGTGCAAACATCTAAGTGATCATTCTGTCCTAGCATGGCAGAGGTTCTGTTGAAACGCAACTCTTTGGGTAGTTTAGAAGGGTTAGAGAAGGCAGTTTTAAATCCTGCATGTCTCTACGGCATTTATTTCCCCCCACTTCCTGTCCTGGTAATGGTAATCTGATAGATCAGGAAGTGAGGATAACTCTTTGGGGGACATGGCCAAAAAATAAAAACAATATTGTGCACGTCAATTGTATAAGATCTCAATATGGTGCAGTAATGCCTAATGAGCAGACAATATTGCTATAAACAAACATATAAAGAAAGCAATTGCTTAAATGGGATTAATCGGTCTCTATGCAGAATGCATACCTCCCCAACTTTTCTGAGATGAGTGACACCCTCTAGCAAAACATGTTTAGGCAGACCACACCCACTGCCATGCCCCCAGTTACGTAGACCCTGATGAATTGATGAGCAAAAAAAATGATTGTAATCGCATTTCTGACCATTTAAATACATTCAAATAAGTTTTCCAAAGGGAGTTCTACTGGTATATTGGAAAATGTAGGGCTTTCTCAAACCCATCTACCTGCGCCAGTTTTCTTTGAATGGCCCATTATAATACACTGCTTTGTCTTTGTACCTACAAAATACTCTTTAATTACAGTGCCACACATAAACCTCAGCACAAAGGATCATTTTTAAAACAAACCTATTTATTAATATACAGGATTTATATAGTGCCAACAGTTTGTGCAACTCTTTACAAGATAATGAAGACATTACAATCACAATTCAAGACAAGATGGTAAGGAGGGACCTGCCTCTGAGGGCTTCCCATCTAAAAGGGAGGGGGAAGTGCTACATGAGGAGGTAGCTGTGTGGGGATGAATTGTTTGAGAATAGGATCGCCTAAAGGCAGTCAAGGTGGGAGATAGATGGATAGGTTGGGGTTAAGAGTTCCAGAGGATGGGATAGACTCTAGAGAAGTCCTGGAGGTGAGCGTGGGAGGAGTTGACGAGGGAGCTGGAAAGCAGGAGGTCTTTGGAAGAGCGGAGGGGGTGGTTAGGGTGATACTTTGAGACCAGGTTTGAGATATAGCGGGGGCAGAGTTCTGGATGGCTTTGTAAGTGGTGGTTAATCTGAATTTTATCCTTTTGGCTATTGGAAGCAAGTGGAGGGATTGGCAGAGGGGGGGTGCAGACACTGAGCGGTTGGTTAGGTGGATGTGTCTAGCACCAGCATTCATGATAGACTGAAGGGGGGGATAGCCTGTGTAGTGGAAGGCCAATGTTGTGAACCAAACTAACTTGCGCTAACGGAAATAGTAAAACTAAATTAAGATGGATTAAAGTTTAAAATAGATATTAATATGACCCCGGAGCTAAAATTTCTAAAACCAAAAAGGAAAAAAGCTGCTGAACTCAGGCTAAAAGCCTACAGAATAATGGTGTAATGAAGTGTACAGCGCTAAATGCCCTTCAGGAAATTAGATAACGGTAGGGATCATATGGTGTCACCTCCGTGTCAAGCAATCGTGAACCGATTACCGTTATCTAATTTCCTGAATGGCATTTAGCGCTGTACACTTCATTACACCTAGATATACAAGTGAGTGGATGAGTAACTTAGTGGTTTCATTGGTGAGGAAGGGGCGTATTATGGAGATGTTGCAAAGGTGAAGGCGTCTGGATTTGGATAGTGATTGGATGTGGGGAAGAAAGGTGAGGTCCGAGTCAAGGATGACACCTAGCACCTTGACATGGGGGGAGGGTTGGATAGTTGTGTAATCAATCTCGAGGGAAAAGTTACAATACGCTTTGGTGGTGATTTCCTCCTCCGGCATTTCTAATCAGTGAAAAATTCCCCACCTTGCCAGGCTCTGGTCGCCAGTGAAAGAATCCTCCCTTCCCTTTGGTGGTCAGTGGGAGGGCAATGCAGAGCATGCTTGCCTGCCGCTTGCTCTTGTGTCCCATGCAGCTGCCTGTGTGGTAATGTCACTGCTGGAACTATGTACGTACTATGGGGCAGGAAATCACTATGCCCAGGAAAGCTAAGTGCTGAAATGAATGGGCTTTGGACTGTTGGGAGCTATGCACCAGTATGTTAGTTCTTGGCACAGAAGTCCTACTTTATGAGCAAATTCTTGTTCTCTTGTTAAATCACATGTTACAGCTGTAACTAGAAAAGTGCCAGGTGTAAGAACCCTTGAGGGCTTGTTTACACTAGATGCGGACCAGATCTGCATGCGTTTCTGCATATGCAGTATGGTGTTTTGCTGCATTCTGGGTTTTTTTAGGGCTTTCAGGGTGAGCGTACGTCCGCGTACTCCCATAGAGAAGAACAGGCTGCTGCGTACAAATCACACGCAGCACCTGTCCTTCCCGGGAGTGGCCCGTTATGGCCGTGCACACATCATGGATCTGTACAGGCCAGCTGTTAGTAGTGTAAATGAGGTCTAAGCGTTGTCATCTTAGGGCTTGAAGTGCATTACTGGCAGACTCACCACATAAAGGTAAAAAATCCTGTATAAAAGTACGCTAATGCAGCCACCAGATCCATGGACCGCTATAATATACAACATTGTTGTTATTGGGTTTAGATACGCTTTCAATAAGCACCAACATCAGCAGTTTCCATCTTGCAAGTAAAAATGCAACTTGTCGCCAAATGATAAGGGTGGAATTTTCCCCCAGAAATGGTGACAGCGCTAATCATGAGAGAATTATGTAGGTTGCCACTGCTAGCCTCCTTTAGAAGATGCTACGTACCTGGCTTCAATACTTTTAAAGGAGAACTATGGGGTCAGTGTTTTTCCCCATAGTTCTCCTTTAAGTCACTAACCAGGAACAAGAAAATGGCAAATTAATAAAAAAAAAAAGGAATTCTACAGCTGCCAGGTGTACTTGATCCTGTGGGCCAGATCCACAATTAAAGGCGAACTATGAGGTGAGTGAAAAGCCCTCACCTCATAGTTCTCCTTTAAGTCACTAACCAGGAACAAGAAAATGGCAAATTAATAAAAAAAAAAAGGAATTCTACAGCTGCCAGGTGTACTTGATCCTGTGGGCCAGATCCACAATTAAAGGCGAACTATGAGGTGAGTGAAAAGCACTCACCTCATAGTTCTCCTTTAAGTCACTAACCAGGAACAAGAAAATGGCAAATTAATAAAAAAAAAAAGGAATTCTACAGCTGCCAGGTGTACTTGATCCTGTGGGCCAGATCCACAATTAAAGGCGAACTATGAGGTGAGTTCTTTTCACTCACCTCATAGTTTGAACTACGGGGAAAAGCACTGACCCCATAGTTCTCCTTTAAGAACACTGTCCCACAGTGTCTGTGTCCCATGGGCTGTTCCACTGGAACCAGGATCTCGACAGTCAGCTGCTAGGTTCCCCAACAGTGAGAAAGTCTCTTGCTCCCAGCAGGCAATCCTAGAAAATGGGGTTGGGAGGGATAGACACCTGATGTGTTTATGCTAAGTCTCTGTGCCCCCTCTTCAGATATGTCTCATCTGTCAGGCTGCCACTTAGTGTGATAGAGAATGCTGTAACAAGTGCCCCTTTTCTGCTGTAGAATCAATCCTAGGTTGGAATCCCTTGTTTGCTAACTACAGCCATCACAAGCACCATGACATTTCACAGAGCTAAGGCTTCATGAGGAGGGGAGGCATGGTTTGTAGTTTTGGTGGCTCCCTGCCCAAGCAGCCACTGTAGTGCCACAGCCTCCTGTCTCTGAAATATGGAGCCTGCTTGCATGGGTAGGCATGATGATCTGCAGAATGGGAGAGGGTCATATGGCACTGTGGTGGTTGTACGGTAAGAAGGTGGTGGTGGGGGTGGTGTGCAAATCTGTGATGATAGCATGGGAAAGGCACTATGGTTTGAAATGTGTACCTTACTCCCCAACAACCCTGATTCTGCAGGACCATCCCAGAATTGTAAAAAAAGGTCCGGCGTCTGTCAGATCTGGGCTCTGTCCTTCTGTTGGAATGCTCCTTCCTGTATCCAGCTTTAGCTGCTTTTCTACTCTGTTGGGTGGAGTGATCTCCTGCCCTACATGAGCACTATAGTATTGGCAGAGGGAGACAGTGGCACGTGGATAGGTAAGTAATCTGCTAAATACCAATGACCCCCACTCACTTTCTGCCACCCACCAAAGTACAAGTGCCCCTCCTACCTCTGCTAAGCATCAGTGCTCCCCTTTTACCTCTGCAGAGCACCAGTGCCTCCTCTTCTTCCAGAGTACCAGTGCACCCACCCTTCTTCCCACAGAGCACCAATACCTATCTTCCCATTGGACACTGGTGCCCCCTCCTTTTACTTCTGTTTGATACTGAGTATTCTTTTCCTCCTACAGACCACCGATGGCGATCTTTTTTTTCTTCCTGCTGACCCAGTGGGACTGGATCAGGAAAGAATGACCCGTGTTAGTGGTCGGGGAGGGGGGAAGTTATTGGGGGAATAACTGGAGGCAGTATGCCAGGTATTTTTCCTCTCATTGATCACCAAGACTGGGCATTTTTTTCCTGCCCCTGAACACTGATTCTAGACGTTTTTCCTCAGCATTACCATCAACACCAGGCAATTTTTTTCTCCCACTTACCACCGATGTTCCGTCCATTGACCCCAAAAACTGGCCTTTTTTTCCTCCTGCTGACCACCAACAATGGGCATTCTTCCCACCAATGCCGGCAACTTCTTCCAACCGTTGACCACAGACGCTAGCCATCTTTTCCTTTTACTGACCAGCAATATAAGGAGCACTATGACACATACAGCTGACCGCTGCACTTTGTACCTTGTATAGTATATAACCAAATGTGTACTGCTGTACATTATATACCAAAGTGTTTATTGCGTCAACAGTTGCTTTTTGCTGAGTAGTTTCCTACTATTTTACTTTCTATCTTAATGTGAAAGTGTTAAAGAAGAACTCCGGATAGAAGAAATCTTAACCCTTGCAGTGAGGCTACCCCTGCACGTCAAGGGTTACATAGTTACATAAATACATCGTATTTGAGGTTGAAAAAAGACACAGGTCCATCAAGTCCAACCTATAGCGTGTATGCATGTGAATCTACATGTGTATGAGTGTGGATGAGTCCATGTGCCATCTTCTTCTTAAGTGTGCCTGTACCCCTGTATGTTGCGGTCTCTGAGGAAATCGTCCAAATGCTTTTTGAATGATTCAGCACTCTTAGCTGAGATCACCGCTTGCGGCACTGAGTTCCATACCCTGACCGCTCTTACTGTGAAGAAGCCCTTACGCCCCTTGTGATTGAATTTTTTCTCTACTAATTTCCAAGTATCCACAAGGAACTGTGCCTGCCTGAGCCGCCTCTGCCTCTGTCCTGTCAACCTGGCCCACCCATCTACAGTGCAGTAGTGGAGTGATCTCTTCGGCTCTGCTCAGCAATGTAAGGAATAGTAACCTGTAGGGATGAATGTGTGGCCCTTGAGGTAGTGACTTGAATCGGCCCCGCATGCTGCTGATTGTATATGGCACTGAGGCTGAGCAATCATTTATTATATATGAGAATACAAGATATTATTACTTACATTGGTGAGCAATGTAAGTACTAGTCACCTGTAGGGATGCACCGATAACGATACTGGGCATTTTCACGGGTACTCGTGAAAATGCCCCGATACCAAAAACCGTTACCGGCCCTTTAATGTTTCAAATTGAAGTGGCTGCCTTAGGTCCCACGCTTGCTGGAGACCTCGCAGCAGCCTTCTGGGGAACCATGCTGTGCCTGTTTACAGCCTTTTCCACCAGCCTGGACATCTCCCCCTCCTGAGACCCTCCGTATTCCTCCTGAGAACTTCCGCACCCCTTCTGAGACTCTGCACACCCCTTCTGAGACTCTGCACACCTTCCGCACCTCTCCTGAGACCCTCTGTCTAAAACATCAGGCCGCCGCCCCGAAAACAGAGTGGCAACACACAGTATGTAGCAAATGTATATACTATTATTCTGCATTGCTGTGATATGTTGCTGGAATTTGTAGTCCTCTATAGCTGGTAGTATTATTCTGCAGTGCTGTATAATGTATTGCTGGGATTTGTGGTAGTCTATAGCCGATGGTTTTCTGCATTGCGCTGTATAATGTATTGCTGGGATTTGTAGTCCTCTATAGCTGGTGGTATCATTCTACATTGATGTATAATGTATTTCTGGGATTTGTAGTCCTCTATAACCAGTGCCATTCTGCATTGCTGTATACTGTATTGCTGAGATTTGTAGTCCCTCTACAGCTTGGAGTCAGTGGCAGAACTACATAATAGCTTAGAAAAAATTTAACTGTTAATTCATTTGGTGTAATGCTGTTAACGAGCCGCAATCCCTATTTTCCCCAGATAAAAACAAAGCCCTCTTGAGACATCAGGCTGGGGGGCCCACTGTAATATTTTTTTGCCCAGGACCCACTAATGCCTTGAATAAGCCCTGCTTGCAGTGTAGTGGTAGCCCCACTGCAAGGGTTACAATTTCTATTGCACAGAGTTCTTAACTCTTTGTCTATATTCGGCTTTATTTTTTAAAGGTTTATGTCTGTGTAACTCTCATTTGTGACATAGCAAGCATGGAGTATTTTGAAAGCACAAGGACTCATTCATGTGTACAACATGTCCTGTGAGTAGGCTTAAATCCACGTTTTCTCCTTTCCAGGTTGTCTCTCTTTCTCAGCTTCTTATGTTGAAGCGGTGTGCCCTACAAGCTGTAGTTTATGCCTCATTTGCAGTGAGAAAGGTCTGCATATTCTCGTGACGTGTTGCATTGCTTTTCACATATACGTAGAAAAAAAGTTGCTCACAGTCCAGTAGGTGTAGGTGACGTGACCTTAAGTAAAATGGCCGCCAGTGTGCCACATACCAGAGCGCGCAGGCGTAGAGTTCTCTTTCCTGGGGCTGCGCCTCACCCTTTATTCGTCTCTTAGCAACCATATTCTTGCAATCCAATTGGCTGCTGACCAGTTTCCGCTCTTTTCAAACTAGCGGTACGGCGGCGGTTTGCTGTGTGACGAACGTTCTTGTCTCCGCCGTTTGATTATTGAGCCCACCATAGAGGGGGAGGAGGTAATGGCGCCCCCGGCGGACCCTTCTCCGCCCTCCGACAAAGTGAAGTCTAAAAAAAGAAATGTCCCTACACGGAAATCCTCCGTCACCAGCCTGGCTAGCCAGGCCTCCCCGGACAGAGGCAGCGGCAGAAGGTAGGCGCGCCGGAGGGTTTCATCGGGGGGTGACAGAGAGAGGCCTGAGGCGATGGAAGGGCCGAGGTTCCCTAGGACGGCCCGGATGGTTCCTGTACTCCGTGCATTGTCTTGTTCTTATGTGTGGTGGCTTTGTTATCTGTGTCTGATGAATGGGGTGTGATTAGATATTATTGAGTGCATTACTGGCAGGTGACTTCTGTTTCTTTCTCTATACCATCTACATAAAGTAGTCCTCTATAGCTGGTGGTATAAGCAATGATGGGAAACGGATGTGTGAGCAGAGTGATGTAACCATTAGATGGGAAATGGGCATTTTCACATTATTCTGCTGTTTTTGCATAAACAAGGTGTGTGGCTCCTTCTCTTCTCAATGGAGAAATATGCTATCCGCTGAAAACAAACCATCCTCTTTTTTTATCCCACTGACATGTGCTGACAATAGGGACAAGCGGTATGACCATACCCTAGGGAAGCACAGCTGTGTGGTGTGCAAATGTTTTGGCCCCTAATAAATATATAAAAAAAGTTGGAGTAGAGAACCATGTCAAGTGACCTGTCAGCCTTGTCACATGCCCCTTTTCCAAAAATTGAGTGCTCTCTATAGCATAGACAGGCCACATACTGTGGTGTACATTTTATGAATGGTATGAAAAGGCAAAATGTGGTGTAAACCCTTCGATGTACAGTGGATAGTGTTTTCTGAGCTCTGCTATATTACAGCCCCCCCACCTGACTTTCTACTGTGATCTGGTCGTACACATTGGCATCCTAAATGCTACACAGCTCCAATTTCTGCATCCATGATTACCTTTTAAAGTGACACTAACTCCAGGAGTTAAATTTTAAAAATGCATTCAAGTACTTTAAAGGAGATCTATGAGGTGAGTGAATTCCACTCATCCTCATAGTTAGAGCCGACCTGTGACCAAAAAGCTGTCACAGGTCGGCTTTATTGATCGGGAAGTGAGCAGAAACATGCACTGATCTGCTCACTTCCCGATCGTCTCCCTGCAGAGTTGTGACTGTCAGTCACCGCTCCCCACAGGGATTCCCCTCTCCAATCCTCCAGCGCTGAGTGGAGGAACGAATGGGGGAGGGGGCGGGCACACCCTCCAGAAGGAAGGACAGTGTCGGCACCAATTCAGAGATGATTTGAGGATCTACAGCTCAGTGATGCATTTTTATTAGTAGTTAAGGTACTTGAATGCATTTTTAAGATTTAACTCCTGTGTTTAGTGTTGCTTTAAAGCCCAATTCAGGACAAAATGTGCACTTCAATATTCCATGTGGTGACATCCTCTTAAATGTGGGATTAGAGCCACAGTCCTGCCGAACTTTTGTGGTCAGTCTGTTACCTTATGTCAGATGCTTCAGATCCCAGCTTTTCAATGGATTGTAAATTGAAATTACATAAATATTAAATATGCATATTCACATATGTGTAGTGCTGATCATTTATTCGCAGTTGTAAAAGATCACTCAGAGCAATGGGGCTGTGTGTCTCTTTGTTAATACACAGCCCTCACACACACCCACACACACACACACACACACACACACACACACACACCCCCCCTCAGTGATCTTTTACTACTGCAAATGAACGATCAGCGCTGTGGGGCTGTGTCATACACTGTCCCTACAGTACTGATCGATCATTCATAAAAAGCATGCATGCTGGGCTGTGTATTTACAAACAGCCCCTGGTAGACACATAACTCCACAGCTCTGAGTCATCTGTCAACACTGTCACTCAAAATTCAGTGGTGGCCAAACTATCCGACCCCACTGCTTAGCAATGACGGAATGGATCTGAATGTGACCGAGACCTATATTCACTTGTGTTCAAAAGTATGCATACCCTCGGAGAATTGGTAATATATAGTTACATAGTATTTGAGGTTGAATAAAGACATAAGTCCATCAAGTCCAACCTATTGTGTGTATGCATTTATGTTTGAGCAGGTGTGTGCGTGTTTATTAGTCCATGTGTGATTTTGCTCTTAGGCGTACCTGTACCCCTGTATATTATGGTCTCCCAGGAACTCGTACAGGAGTTTCTTGAATGATTCCACACTCTTAGCTGAGTTCCAATGACTCCCGGCGGCAAAAGTCACCGGGAGTCTGTTTAAACAGCCCCGATGCTGGCGGCGTACACTGTACATCGTCAGTCACAAAGGGGTTAAATAGTTTATACAAGATCATGTCCCCCCTTAACCTCCAAAGAGAACATATTTAATTTTAACAACCTTGTTTCATAGTTTAGGTCCTCGAACCCTTTAATACGTTTTGTTGCCCTCCTCTGGACCTTTTCCAGCTCAAGGACATCCTTTCTGAGTATTGGTGACCAAAACTGGACCGCGTACTCCAGATGTGGCCGAACCAGTGATCTAGTACCATTTTTAGAGAAAACATGATGAGCCGGCAAAACGCATTTCTTTTATTTCTTATAGAATTCACCTGTAGGTCATAACAGAATGGCACAATCATAAAACATAACATGGCAACAAATAAAAAATGAAATGACCCCTGTTCAAAAGTCTGCATACCCTTAGTTCTTAATACTGTGTATTGCCCCCTTTTAGCATCAATCTTTTGTAATAGCTAGCATGCCCCAAATCCTTGAAGGTGGTATGGCTGCCCATTTGTCTTGGCAAAATGCCTCCTAGGTCCGGACTAAAAATTTCCACTCGCCTCCTCGCAATTTGCGAGTGAAAATTGCGTGGGGGCGAGTGGAAATGAAGCCATTGAGTCAGGCACTCGGTCATGGACCGAGTGCCCAACTCCTGGAGGGATCCCAGATGTCTTACACGTATGCTGCTGCTCACAGCCATGCACCTTCCCATGTTAAAGATGGCCGCATGACGGCAGCCATCTTTACGAAGGTCCCTTGTTCTATGATTCCATAGGACCCGTAACTTTATCGGACTTCTGCTGGCGTGGGCAGGGCTCAGCCGTGTGCGCAAGCACACTGCGAGACCAGGTCCATAAATCTCACGGACCAACTCACCCTTCCCCCCAGTGGTGATTATATACCTCCAAAAGAAAGCTCTATCTGTCCCTAAAATATTTTTTTAAAAATTGCAAGGCTATAGTCCGGTCATGCTGACTGGTGAAATTTTTCACTGACTGGTGGGACACCATCAAATTTTTCAAGCCCTGTACAATCACGTACTTCTAGATAATTGCCGGCTTTGTATACTTTGCATACCTTATTTCTCTTTTCTTACTCAGTCTGACAGTGGCCATGTTTACTAGGGGCAGATTACTTGCTCTCCCTTTACTTCCTGGATTTCTGGCACATGTGACTAGGACATGTGACCATGCACATAATCTTAGGGGAGGAAAATGTCTTTCCCTGAGATCTCATGAGATTACAGACGAGATTTCACAGCAATGCTCTGCTGATGACAAGGCAATCTCTGTGTGCATTGCTTTGGCAAACTGAAGTTATTTTGCCCTTTCAAATTAGGAAGTAAATGCCCTGCAAGTGTAAGTAATTCAAAATCGCAGCATTTTACACCCGAAATATCTGTTATTATTTGCCATACATAGAGGGGTGCATTGGTAGAATTTGGTTTTTGAGTGTAAAGGTCCACTTTAAATAAGCTATGATCAGTCATATTTTCAATATCAATGCCAAAATTTCACAATTTCTGCCAGGGTTTGCAAACTTTTGAGCACAACTGTATGTTTATCAGTAGCACTGAGATGGAACGATTGGTGAAAACAATCGGTTGCTTAAAACAAATGGCAATTGTTTGCTACTCCGTGCTTAAGCAAATGGAATGTAATTTAGTTAGGGTTTAAGTCATACTCCAGGATGGTCACATGAGGGATAGGCTCTGTTTACCTTTAAGCACAGAGAGGTTAAAGGAGAACTATGAGGTGAGTGCTTTTCACTCACCTCATAGTTCTAGCCGATCTTTGACAATGAGACTGTCACAGGTCGGCTCAGTAGATCGGGAGGTGAGCGAACACATACCAGCGTTCGCTCACCTCTCGATCCTGTCTGGGCTCTCTGCCGTGACAGAGGAGGGGCTGGATTCGCTCCGATCCGCAGCGCTGACTGGCGGAACGCTTGGGGGAGGGGGCGGGTACAGCTGGCTCTGCCTCTAGATAGGCAGAGCCAGCTGTCAGTCACGCAGCTGGGCGGATCCCGGCACAATTGTCGGGATCCGCTTCAGCTACGGCTTCTCAGTATACTGCGAGCAGCAGCTCGCGGTATACTGCGGCGTCTCAGTATACCGCGAGCTACAGCTCGCGGTATACTGAGCCTAGGGTGACGGGAGGACGCTTGTTTGTGTCCTCCCGTTACCCTAAGACCCCGTTCACATTGAGCGATTTATCGCGCGGTAATTCCCGCGATATCGCGCTCCAATGCAATCCAATGGGGCAAAGGGTCCTGCTGTCGCGGGTCGTGTGTCGCTACAGCAGGACCCTTTTTGGAGCGGATTTAGCCGCGATTCAAGCTTGCTCAATGCAAGCTTGAACGCGACATTGCGCGGCAAATCTCGCGATGTCGCGCAATATGCAAATCGCGCGTTTGTCGTTGTTTAAAAGGGTCACCTTGCCTGCAGACTGTTAGGAAGAGAGATTCCCGAGCACCTTCCAGGAATCTGGGGGACATAGAAATAAAAGCAAACAAGGAGCTTCCAGGAAATACAAAGAACTGATTGAAAAGAGCTAACTGGGAGTTTTAAACAACAAACAACGAACAACAAACAACAACGTTGTTTAAAAAAAAATAACATATAAAACACAATTTACTCCAACATGAAAGAGTTCCTATTTACTTTCGTTATCACTGATATGGTGTTTTTTCTTTATGAATGTGTTGCATTAATAGCAACAGATGGTAAGTGTCACACATAAAGACTACATTAATTTTTCACATATGTGATATTAACAATGGCAATGTCTGAGTTTTAGGAATTTGGCGCAAGGCTTCCAAATATATCCTCACTGCCAGAAATGTGTTGTAAATGCCTTTATTG